TCGCTTTCTACCATCGTATTGAATGGCATCGGCCATGCTGATGCTGGTGCTTGTACTGGCTTCTTGGCTGGACATGGCTGAGTTCAAGGCGTCACTTATGTGAGGCTGGTCAGTGCGACCAGTCTATTCCACTGAAGGCCTCAGGAATACTTGGCAATGCCTTGCAAAGTATACCTGACCGACCAAGGTCAGGTATATTCGAACACCCATTGCTCATCGATTTTCGTACACTACTTCTTGACAATTGGGCATTTTAAATGCGTGCATCCTCATTGGCTATGCGAGGGGCATTAGAGTGTAGGCAAATACTGGTTGGGATGGTTTCTTTCATCGAGGCGATATGCAGGCATATGTCCTGCGATGTTTTTTGAGAATGCCGCGATCTTCGCTGGTATTTCATAGCTCTGAGATCTAGGGCTTTACTCATGATCGACTTACTGAGCTTCTTTCTGGATGTTTGAAGGGAGTTACATAACCAAAAGTTCATTTCCCGTGAGTCATATGCGACTACAAGAGACTAGGGATAGTTTGAGCTTCGTACGGTGGCTAGAGTTAGGCCAACATCCGCGATCATTAGGAACTTGGCAGACATGAAGACGACATCGGGGCCCTTTAGGCGTTCGTAGAGACGGCGTAAGCGAAGAAGTTAGGAAAAGAGAAGTGAAAGAATAAAGAAATGGTATGGGGGGTTCACAATAAAAAGCGATGAAATAAGGCCAAAAAATTAGATCGTTAAATGAAGCGCAGTTGATCGTTGAGGAGTCGAAAACTTCGTATAGTCCACCCAAAAAGTTCCAAGAGAGAATAAATGCCACAATGGGGATCAATCAAGAGCCATCAAGTTTATCAAGTTTGATAGAGATGGTGGAGTTGCCCGAGTAAAAGTGCTCAACTCGAATATTAGATCCTTCCTCTTGGTGGCATTTGGTTGGGGTTCCCACCGGGTTGGTAAAGAGGATTGGCTTGTGGTCCATGGCCAAACCCTTGTTGAGGCCCATGATTCCCTTGGGGTGGCGGCCCACCATAAGGATTACCAGCAAGTCGTGGGTCCATGGGGGGACCTCTGGGATCCATCGGTGGGCCTCGGGGATCCATCGGAGGTCTTCCCATCGGCATGTTGCCGGGTGGCCCTCCTGGCATTCCGTTTGGTGGGAATCCGCGCCCGCCTGGGGGAGGGAATGATTGCATTTGATTCGGAGGGGGTCTTTGTAGTCGTTGCTGAGGAGGGGGCCCACCAGCTCGGAGACTTGGCGGAACAGGGCCGTTGTCTCTTAATGGGATTGGTCCGCCTGGGCCATTAGGGCCGCTTGGCATGGGTGGTGGCCCACCTCGACCACTGCCTCCTGTAGGAGTGCTTGCAGCAGGAGTTGGTCCACCAACAGGAGTTCCATTCTTCTCAGCTGCTTTCAGAATTTCGTCACTAGTCAAATGTGTGAGCTCAAGTGTCGAATATGAGATGAACTATAGCGCATACTCTAATAGGTTCAGGGCCGCGCACAATACAACCCATTCTACGCAGTCCTCGTTGCCTTCACCCAGGGTTTGCCATACAGCTTTCTCTTCTGGTGACTTTCCGGTGATAGATATCCTAGTGCCTCCACCGGAGGTCGCGGGATTCTTTTGGATTTTGCCAAACTCGATACGTTTGGGGGGAATGAGATGTCCGGCATAGGCAAAGTAGAACATACTCCAGTGGGTAGCGTTTGGGTTTGGCTTGGAGATTTGGAATAAAGGTAGGTCAGCAGAATCCGGAGATGGCAGTGACAGCTTGTAGATGGGCGACATGACCCCGGTGTTGGCAATGGTCCATTTCAGGTTCCTTGACGCTTCACAACGAACAACACGCGATGCAGAGGAACCGTGCCCGGGATCTGACGCATTCGGTTTCCCAGTTGCAGGCGGGCGAGGGGGGAATAACTTCGCCACACACAAGTCACCTTGCGGAGACGGAGTGAGCAGATAGTTTTCTGCATTCTTCAAGCGGATGAGTAACCTTTAAAACTTTGAGCTCGAAAATCCTTACGAAGTTGGTATGAAGATAGGAATAGAGTATGTTTTGTGGTTGACCTGTAGCGCTAAACATGAGCGCACGCGACTCCGTCGAGTAT